TTGGAACAGCCTCCATCCTACGACGATACCTTTAACACCATCAAACAACATCTGCCTATCCCCGGTCCTTGGGAAGGACTCGCTAGGTGGATCAAAATGCCATACCCAGTCTAAACATCTGGCTGACTGCGCGACCCACCATCATAATATATTAAAATAATATAAGCTAAAACTACTGCCAGCTGATCATCACTGCACTGTTAATTTTGCAGGGAGCAGTTTATTGCTAGCCAGAAGTACAATTCTCTGCTTTCTTTGTGTAAGTGGTAGAAGCCCTCCCTTAACAGGAGTTTCCTTCTTGCACCTCAGGTGTCGAGCCCGAATGCAAGCAAATCACAGGCAGGCTGGAATTTGTGAAAGTAGATGACTGCGTGAATGAAAACCAGCTGAATATCCATTACTGTGAGGTAACGTCTGTGAGAGCAAAGGAGGGTATTTTCCGAAAAGAGCTTGGGTCTAATTGCACAGAGCAATAAATAAGTGTCCAGGTTAATATGAGGACGGCATATAGTAATGCAGTAATATGTGTAAGATAGTAACTATATGCTGCCATTAAAGTAATAAAATATAACGTGTTATTCCATGCTGATAGAGCAGGACAGTAAGACTGTTCAGCATAGCGACTGCCAGACTGAACGTAACAGACAGAAATACCACAGGGCAGTTGGGTGCAGGTGAAGTTTTTGCTGGACGGTTTGACCGTTACTAGCAGCAAATTCTCAATGGATTTTATAAGCTGCTGTGCAAATCTTAGCAATGCTGTTTCCTGGCCTAGGGTCACAATCAGAAAGGAAGTGTCGAGTCCTAACGTTGGTCAGTCCAACCCACTGGTTCTTTGTCGCAAGTTAATAATTTAAGTCGTGGATGGTTGTGAGTGTCTGGAAGGAGAGAAGGGACTGCATTTAGACAATGATTGTTAATAGGCTGTTTAATCACCAGCCACTTCTGCGTCAGCTGTAGGACATTATTAACCATCTGCTCTGAAGTCTGATGCTCGGTGAATTGCTGCTTCTCTTGTTTTCACCTCCGCTGGATTCCTTCTCTATTCTCCGCGTGCTTTATAATGATGTGCCTGTTGACTGAGGCTGTGTGCATTTGTGTAGAAACCCTCGCCCAGAAACAGCAACTTTTGGCACACACGGCTGTTGCAAACTCAGCTCTGCCCTGTCTCCTTCCTTCCGCCAGCTAGAAACAGTCTGTCTGCATCTCCATTTTTACATCTTCGAGCAGTTCTCAGGGCAGAACCAGGATTCCTGGCGCCAACTGTTTGGCCTTTCTCTTTCAGGGCAAGTGTACGAGCAAAGCCATTTACAACATTACCCTGAACCACATTGAAGATGTGTGCACCTGCTGCTCAGCGACAGTCACCGACCCCATGGACGTCCCCTTGCGCTGTGCCAATGGCTCCGTGGTCCTTCACAAAGTGCTTAATGCCAGAGAGTGCGAATGCCTCTCTCGGAAATGCCAGCCGTGATCACGTAACGGGGAGCTTATGCCTGTCAAACTTTTTATCCAGACGCCAGAAAATGTACAATCTGCTTTTAATTTCCTTTGGGCATTGGGAGGATTTTGATATTGGTCTAATCAAAGCGATGTAACCCAACCCAAGCAATAAACCGCATAGCTTGGATGTTTTACTTTTGACTGTTTCAGGGTATTTTGAGAAAGCCCAAAGAATTCACATCATTCGGAGTACTGTTTTGGGTCAGTATTCCATCAAAGGACTTCAACCCATGGGATGAACTAATACAATGATTTCAGCATATAGTTATTCTCATTTCAGTTACTTTTATGGTGAGTGACTAACTCTGACTCAGATCAGAGTTATCTGGCTTCTGTTACAAGCTTGAATAAAACATTTGACTAAAACGTGATTTTTCCCAAAAGCTTCTTTTTTCAAAAGCCTTATAACGTACACCCAATGAATTTTCCCGTCGGAATCCGTCGTGGGGAGCTGGGAGACAGGGATGAAAAACGGGGTGGTCTTTCAGCAGGAGCTGAGGCAAATGTCTGATTTGCCAAACACAAGTTTCAGTGCCATCGCAACTGAAATTTCGTTTCTCAAATTTCTTTCACAACTCCCCTGTTAGGTGGGGTTCAGGCCCTTATAGGTTCACAATATGATGAGGCCTGCGCTGAAGACATACTGGAGTGGGGAAGAGAGGCTGGACCTTTAACGTGCTGTTGGATGCAACGTCTGTTAGCAAAGTCAGCCTGGCTGATGAACAGCAATGAGGGGCATCTGCAAGCCCTGGGTTGCCCTCCACAGTGCCATTCTAGGTCATCCAGCTTCAGGTCAGTCATACGGAATTACTACATTGAAGCAATCCTACCACCAACTCCAGCCGTTGAAAGGTCTGGGCTGTGCATCATTGTCTTCCCCAGCTAAGTCATTGCTGCCTTTTAAAAATATGCTTATTGTACAGCCCACCACTTAGAAAACTGCTCTTGGACAAGAGAAGATTAAATTGGTATTAATTTTAAAAATCAAAAGCACAATTGTGGATCATTCCAATGAGAATAAGAATATAAAAACAGCATGCCTGCCTTTTCTTTTAAAAACAGAAACAAAAATTAATGCAGGGTTACCAGACCTGGGCTGCAAAAGTCTAGATGACCAGGTGGCAGGAAAGATGTAGAAAACGCTTAACTCTTTGCTCCTATCTACAGGTTGAATGGATTTTTTCAGCCAGATCTGGTAGCTGTAATTAATGAAGATATAAGAGCAAAAACAAGATGTACAAATAGGAAGCGGGAAGAGGGCCAAGTCATTTAAAAGCAGAGTTATGGAAGACAACCTGGAGTTGTAGAGATAATGAGCTGAGTTGAAATCAGTGAAGCAGTGTAAGGTCAAAAAAGAGAGAAAACTTCATATATTTCAGAAGAGGGAGAAAGGGAGCAGTGTACGCCGTGAGGAGGAGGAGGAGGAGGAGGAGAAATGCTAGCAGATGACAAAGAAAAAGATGATCCTACATTCTTATTTTGGCTCAGTCTTCTCTGAAAAGATGGCATATATTCCATGAGGAAACTGAAGAACAGAAGAAAGGGACAGGAATGAGACTGAGTCAAGGTTAGGGTGAGGGAATGCTTGCTTATTTTGAATGACTTTCCATCTCCAGGGTCAGGTAAGGGCAGAGCAAAGGGCCCAAGACCAGAGGAGGCCAAAGCATGGTGCACGTCTCCTCCGTGCTCAAGAAAGGAGCCAAAAGCCCATTACCAAGAGCAGGAAGAAGAGATGCAAGTTTTAAACTGGGGGGCTTGTCCTTCACTCTTTGCCCCCGAGTACTGGTTTGATTTCCTTGAACTGTGAACTGTGTCCTCAAGTACAGAAGGAAGTTGCTGGTGATCTTTACGTGAAAACGATCTTTATGTGATGATGATCTTTTGAGAAATTCTGAGCACCGGGAAGAGGTAGGTCTGGGAATGTTTGGTCTTGGGAAAAGAAGATCGGGCTGTGATAGCACTCTTCAAATACTTGAAAGGATGCCACAGAGAAGAAAGTCAAGGCCGTTCTCCCATTCCCAAGTGCAGAACATGGTAATGGATTGAAGTTACAGGAAAGAAGACACCAACTGAATGTTAGAGAAAGCCTCTGCAACAGAAATGGCTGCCCAGTAGTGGAACCAAAGACCCAGTGAAATGCAAGGCAACTAGAAACCCTTATGTCCGGCATGCTTTAATTTGGATTCCCGCCCTGAGCAAGGGGCTTAGCCTGTTGGCCTAATGCCCCTTCAAGCTGTGTAATTCTCTAGATGTGGTGTCTGATGTGGTGTGCTCTGAAGCAGCTGAAGATTTCCAGCAGCCTTGTGTGAAATGCAGCAGTACTCAGCATGAATTTCTTAGCAAGCTAGACTGTGAATCAGGTAAAGCTGATCGAAGGCACTCTGGGCTGCTAATGTCCATGGCAGGGAGGAACCGGGAGCCCCGTGCTAAGCTACAACTACCCATTTCTCCAGCCATCCTTAGCCAGCCCTGAGGGATGCTAAGGATTGGAGCTCCGATCCATGGTCTCCAAGAAGCTCCACGCTGAACCTGATCCTCTTCAAGACTGCTTTTGTAGACCAGTCCTGGTTTTTAAAAGTATGGACACAGTACAATCTCAGCTAAATATGTGGGAGATATGAGCAGAGAGATGTCAAAGAAATGGATGAATTGCGCATTTTTAAAGACTAAAAAGCTTTGGTTTTGAGCTTCTGCCTGAAGCCGATCTGATCTGAAGCCGCTTTGAGAAAATCTCTGAATCACACTGGAAAGTAAGATCAAATAATTAAATTGAATTGGAGGCCTCCAAACTGATTCAGTGGAAACCCCTTTTTTTCTGAGTCGACTTAATGTTCTGCATCACCTTAAACTGCCAGTTCAGTTCAGCAGTCTGAACTAAATCACTGACTTAAATCAAACGGGAGCAGATCCACGGGCTCCTACAATTCGGTTCCTTTCCTATCCAGAACAAATATGCAGAACCGATTTTAAATGATAGTTTCCTTTCTTCCCAGTCACTTTGGACGTCAGAACCACACCGTGAAGAAATATCGTGCACGGCAAGGCAAGGGGGACCTGGAAAAGCGTGTTAGAATTACGCCCCTGCCCTCCCGCCCTCTGCCCAGCCCCTGCTTGTAATGTCCATTTCTTGGTGCTCTCTGAGCCTGGTTGCTTTCCTACAGACGTTTCTTTAGCAGGCAACCTCCTCGTGCAGAGGAGAGGGGGGTTTGCTGGCTGTTCATGCATCGTAGCTTGCCCTGCCGGTCTGGGTGGGAATATGGCTTGCTCCTGGGGGTTCCTTGATGAGGACAGTGTTTTTTCCCTGGTTGTTTCTGCTTATCTGGGCGTTGGCTGCTGGAGGAGATGCGCTCCTCTTCTGCCATTTCTTAACCAGCCACGTTTTAAATGCAGGATAAATTTGACCACTGCAAGGAATGGGAAGACAGAGGCCTTCACAGGCAATTGAAGGAAACCTGTCTTTGCTGAATATAATAGTGCAGAAGGACAGGCTACAAATTCCGAGTGATTTCAGTAAAAAGTAAGAGCATTTGTTTCTTCTTCAACTTATGACATCAGGAACATTAAGGACATCTGAACGATGTTTTTTCTCATTATTTAAACTTAAACGGAACTCTGCAGCCTGTCTTGCAAACCTTCAAGCTAGAGGGAAATTGGAATTTGGATGTCTTCTCGATGATTCAGCTTGGAATGCTTTATGGTATAAAATTCCCTTCGGTTCTCATTTGACGAGACAAGCATTTACTATAGAAATGTTTCACTGTTGGCAATATAAGCCATTAGAACTGCATTCTATTAATTGATTTTTCCTAGATTGGGCTGGAAGGATTGTGACCAAGCTGGCAAGTTGACCACCAGCTTTCCTGTAACAAAATACTGAAGCACTGCAAAGAGACTTGAAGATCCCTTTCAGATTCTGGTCGTTCAATATATAATCTCTGTCTAGAAATGACATTTCATACCGAAGTTCTGAGTTTAAAAGCTTGTACCACTTTGTAACATAACTAGTGTACCTGTTACTCACTTTTTAACATCTCCTTCTGTGCAGTTTCTAGTTTTTGTACATTTGTTTTTTATTATCCTGGTTTTTTTAAAAAAACCTTTCATTGATCATAATTTAAATACGTATAATTGAAAAGGTACACCTTCAAAGCTCCTGTCCATAATCCATTTATTCATGTTGTTTTAGTTTTCATCACGTTCTGTAATACTTCGGCGATGAAGGGTGAAGCGTCGGTCTCTCTTCTTCTGCCAATTTGGGAACGAGCCATCATCTGCCCTCTGCCATTCTTTCAGGTTATCAGACAAGCTCCATCGTTCCCCATGCTTGCTCCAACTGCCATTTTCAGAAATAAATCTGCTTATTGTTAAGTACAAGTTGAAACACAAAGCCACAAGCAAGGTTTTAAAAACCTGATGAGGCTTATCCGAGCAAAGTGGGATTTCTGTCCAAACTCCCTTGGGGCTCCCACCTGGCTTCCAACAGGCCCAGCGGGTAGTTGCAGGGCCGCAACATTTGAGAAACCCCGGGGTGAATCGATTTAGTAGGATATGTATAGCTTGCCCCACAAGACCCCCAGGGAAACAGTTGGTTTTACTCCAGGAAGGGGTCCTGGGCATCTACCGAGGGGTCAAGGGAGGACAAGGGAGGCCATACATGTCATTTGTGCAGTGGCTTCTTGATTACACGTGCTGTCATTGTGGCTTCCACCAGACACCCTATTTTCTTTTCTTGCACCACTAAGTTTGGGCTATCTAGATTAAAATTTAATTATTACTTTAAAAATATGTCTTGCCTGACATTTTTTCACTAACTCCAGTGAAATCCTCTGCTTTATTCAGGAGACAAGGGGTCCCAGAAATGCATTTATTTTACAAGGATATAGTAACACAACATTTGGAAACCCCCTGCATTAAGATGAGTCCTCCTCCCTCCCTTTTTTTGTTGTTGTTGCTGCTGTTTAGGGGTTTTTTGACATTTTTGATAAAAGTTGTTGATGTTAGAAATCTTGCTCTTTCCAATCAATCAGGGAGTACTGACTGTTTCTGTTGCACCAAATATGTTGGTAGATTTTCCCAAGTTTCGTTGTTCAGTCAAGCAGGTTCTTTTCTGGAAAAAGTTTGCTGAACAGTAGTTTGTGTTCCCTGAAAAAATAATCCAGCATCACATTCACCAGCAGCGCCTCTTGCTCTGCTTCTTGCCCACAGACAGAAGAATAGTTCGTAATATCAGTGTCAACATCTGCATTGTCAGCTGCCCTTTGGAGGAAAACAATTGCAGTCATGAACATGACAGTCTCTGGAGCCCTTGACTTTCTCTATTATATTCAATCTAAATTTGGACTAATGATTTAATTGGCTTATAGCCTGCCCA